ACACACACACAGAGGCACTCACACAAACACATGCGTGAGCACGCGGTGTAAAATGAAGCGAATGATTGCTTCTTTGACACACACACGCACACCGACACATCTACACACTCACATGCGCGCGTTTTGTACGCGCGCGCGAGCATGCAGTGTGAAATGAAGTGCTCCCGTGACTGCCATTTTTACTAATGTAAATTGTTGTACTAAAATTAATATGAACTGTGGAAAAGATTTTAGGTCACTTGTTATTGTGGTCCCGACGGTTAAGTTGAACTTGGCATGATTTGATCTTTTTTTTCCTCACTCGACGACATCAACTGATCCGTCGTCGACTGAATTCTTCTCTGTATTTTTGTTCTTTTCAATAACGATGACGGAGACATAATGATGATGATGAAGATGATGATGATGATGATAAGGAGGAGGAGGAGGAGGAGGAGGGGGAGGAGGAGGAAGAGGAGGAAAAGGAGGAGGTAGAGATTGACGAAAAGGAGGAATACGCGAAGAAGGAAGAAGAGGGTGACAAGGACGAGGAGGAAGAAAAGGAGGAGAAGACAAAAGAATATTGTTTGGAGTAATGGGAGTAGTGATGGGAGAAGTATCAGAATTAGTGGAGGAGGATGAGAGGAAGGAGGAGATGGGGGAGAAGGAAGACGATGGATTAAAACAAAATGAACTCACCGGCATATTCTCCAGCATGTCTTGGTTAAACATGGACATTCCAAAGTACTGAGGCTTTTTCTCATGAACGTACAGGTTCATAGAAAAACCCAGAAAATCTTTAACCTGCTGAACAGGCATTGTGACAGCAAGGTTTTGACTTCGTCTCAAATCTTCTCAACTCAAAAGCGAATCAAACACAGTGGAGCAACTGACAGCAGCTGATCTTCGTCGGAGCTTTGTTTGTAGATGTAGGCTTAGCGTTGTTAGACAAACGAGAGAATGAAACCATCACACTGAAGATTTAGCAACACGCAGGCTGCTTTTAACACCTCGGGCGAATGTGGGACGGGGTTAATTATATGTATGGGGCATGGGGCGGGGTGTGGAGAACTGGGACGCGGTTAAACTGGGACGGGCCTGGAAATTGATTTTGTTTACAAACAAAACTAAAACTAAAACGTGCGGGCGGTAGGCTATGATTGTAGCGAAGCGCTGGTAGAACTGGGACGCTATTGGGCTTGTCGCAGTTTTCGTAGTTTATTCTCTTTCACTTGTCAAACTCAGACTTGATATGAGTTAAACGTGAAACTACACCTCAAGAATCCAAGAACAATAACACATAGTATAAAGCATAAGCAGTTATTTCTTAAATCACTAATGGATTTATTCGTGGTTTTAAACATGGAATACACACGCGTTGAACTGGAAAAGGGACTGGCAGGTAAGGTGAGACGGTGATCTTTGTGCGTGTGGGGTTTTTTTTGGGTTTGTTTAGGGGGGCGGGGCGGAGGGTGTTAACGTGAAGTGTTACATGGCTTCACGGGTGACACATCGTGATACTGGGGTGGTAGGAACTGAGGCGAATAATGAGTATTGGCGTATTGATCTTGCTGTAATTGATCTGTTACAGCTGTCCGCAAAAATTCATAATCATAGCAATTCATTCAGAGGCCATTCTGTTGTACATTGGGATGTTATTTCCTGAATATTGAAGCAAGGAGCTGTTAGCAACTGGATTGAAACGAGTTTTTGTGGGATCAGAGGTTGTTCTAAATATAACGGCTGTGTTTTAAAGCTTGTGTGCATGGTATAGCGATAACATGATAACATGCACTGTAGTACAGGAGAGTGGAGTGAACTGGGACGAAGGTAAACAAGGTCAGGGCTCGAAACATGTCGTTTTGTGGACCAAAGTTTACCACACCGAAATGAATGTACAACGTATCACCAGTGAGTGGTATCACTATACCTTTTGATTGCTACTACATCCCTTTAACTTATTATTTCCTTGTTTAAGTTCCAAAGACGCACTATTCTGCAAGTGTTGTTGTTTTTTAAAAACAAGTTTCTTTTTGTCTGCATCGAATAATATATTGCACTTCAGCTGAAGGTAAGTATATTTTTATACAGTCATATATCAACTTTAAGAGACCATGTGATCATATGTGACACTCTTAGATAATTATAAAGATTCAAGCTTGGTGTGTATCCATGATCAGGAAATTACTGGGAGACAGAGTCCCACTTTACCACACCCATGTCCCAATTCTCCTTCAAGATAACGTTCAACTCGAACTCACCCAGTGCAAAGTTATCGCATCAGGATGGAGTAGGGTGCAAGAAGTGTATAATTTGTGCTTTCTTGTTGGTATTCAGCCTATAATATAACGTAAGCCTGCTTTGTAGTTCTCAATTTTTAATACTACTATTTTTGCTTTTTTGGGAGGTTTTTGTTGGGTTTTTAAAAATGTCTCGTATTTATAGACGAAAGGCCGAAGTGGGACTATATGCCACATCCCACATGAATGATGAAACTGACGGCGAAAGTTGCCCAGAAGGATAAGACTTGGCTTGGTCATTATGTGCAGAAGGGGAACGTTTGGGCTGATGTAAGACTTCAGTCAATTTACCAGCACAAAAAGATTTTCTCTGAAGCACAAGAATAGACACCCGCCGACGATCTAAAACAATTTTCAAACAGGTTTTAGGTTCTCATAGCAAACCAGACTTGTACGTTACCCTATGATGGCAATACAGAACAGTGCGGAAGTGCCAGAGATTTGGAATGACAAAATAATAATAATAATAATAATAATAATAATAATAATAATAATAATAATAATAGATAGCATTTGTATAGCGCAAATCCCCGCTCAACAACAAGCTCTATGCGTTTCACAATCTATAATACCCCAGCAGATCTGAGAGCATCCTGAAACAACCTCAACTTCATGGGAAGCATACAGTGCAAGCAGTCATTTATAGGCGCTAAAACACTAACATACTGACAAGATCTTTCACTGGATATGACCGGGTACCCATTCCCACCTGGGTGAAGTGAGGAAATTCGTGTAAAGTGCCTTTCCCAAGGACATAATATCGGGCCCGCTGCTCGAGCCCCAGAACCCGTAACTTCACGATTGCGAGTCCGGTAGCCTACCACTAAGCCACCGACACCACAGTATAATAAATAGCATTTGTATAGCGCTTATCCCCGCTCAACAACAGGCTCTGTGCGCTTTACACTATAATATTATGACAACAAAGAGACTGGTAAAGAATGGATACTCCACTTTTTCCAAAAGCGCCCAGATTTGTCTTTGCTAACTGCAAACGCCAGAGCCGACTTCTTTATCTCGAGAGAGTGCTCAACCGAGGCAACGCGGCTAGGTTCTCCCAGATTCTTTCAGATATAGATCTAGTGGCAGCCACCGAGGTATCAGTATTCCACCTAGATGAATCTGGAAGCATGACTGTCTGCAGTGTTCCCCTAAAGTGATCGCACTCAAGCGTCAGAAATAGGGTTGTCAGATCACATCACACGACACGTCATCGTCACCATCATGATTTGTTGCATCATTTCTGCAAACGGTTCTCCCTTGACATCTGTCTTCGTGTCCTACTGAGTACATTTCAAAGGATACATTTTAATTATTATGATGAACGGAGCAACTAAAGGGTCCCTCGACTTAGATTCTAGCAATAATTATTGGTGAATGAGCTTCGACATCTCCCGAAAGTAAGTAATGGAACACTTTTTTTCCATTTGCTTGTTCTAGCAAGGACAATCAAGCGATTTCAATAATGGACGATCACCAGTGTCATTTGTCAGTGCTCTTATTAAACTTGTCAAAAAGAACTTGGTGTTTGTAATCACCTTTCCACCACGCATTAGCAATAGATCAACACGTTTTACTCATACCAGGCCTGAGTTGGACAAGCGAATGAAAATAAACTGTCAAAATTGTGGCAAGCCAAATGGCGTCGGCGTCCCAGTTCTCCCCCAGCTCTCCCCTACATTCAACAATGGCGACAACTACAACAACAACAACAACAATAACAACAATAACAACAACAACAACAACAACAACAACAACAACAACAATAACAACAACAACAACAACAACAACAATAACAACAATAACAACAACAACAACAACAACAACAATAACAACAACAACAACAACAACAACAACAACAACAATAACAACAATAACAACAATAACAACAACAACAACAACAACAACAACAACAACAACAATAACAACAAGAACAACAACAACAACAATAACAACAACAACAACAACAACAACAACAACAACTACTACTACTACTACTACTACTACTACCACTACTACTACTACTACTACTACTACTACTACTACTACTACTACTACTACTACTATTCAACAGGAAAAAGAAAACGAGGAAGACCAACTGGAAGCTTTTGCGGCACAATAAGGGATGAGGCAATCACCCAGGGCCTGGATTTGTCGAAATTGGAGGACGTGACCGGTGACAGGTATAGGGAGAGAGTAAGTAAGTAACGTTCATAATAAGCTTTATTTCTTCGGGAGACTTTTATGTGAACATTTTGATGTCCATTGGGTTGGATTATGAAGTTTATCACGATGTAAAATGGCGTCGGCGTCCCAGTTCTCCCATCCAGCTCTCCCCTACATTCATTACGCTACGGTTATTTTCGTCGACAAAAAACACATTTTTGGCCTCTTCCCAGTTCACCTGGGTCCCGGTTCTTCACACTTCACACTTCACACTTCCCCACACCCCCAACAATTCATTGTCTCATAACCAGGCCTATTGTGTCTAGCCAAAGTACACTTAGGCTAGGCTAAGTACCAAGTGCACGGTGGGAATCATTGTTTTAGGGCGACGAATAATTCACCCCGTCCCGAATTCGCAAGAAGTATTTAAAGCAGCTTGCGTCCCGCCGAACCCCTAGTGTGTTATCTCTCTCTCTCTAATTTATCTCACAAGAGGCCACACAACTCGCACGAAGGCTTGTCAGTTGCTCGATCGTCTGTGAATCGCGTTTGAGTTGAGAGATTTGAACAAAAACCTTGCAGTCACGATGCCTGTTCAGAAGGTGAAGGATTTTCTGGGTTATTCTATGAGCCTGTACGTTCATGAGAAAAAGCCGCAGTACTTTGGAATGTCCATGTTTAATCACGACATTCTTGAGAATATGCCGGTGAGATGATATTTAAAAAAAGAAATCCTCCGCCTTCCTTCACCTCCATCTCCTACTTCCCCTCATTTTCCTCCCCTTCATTCTGATCCTCTTCCTATTGCTCCTCCCATTACTCCTGCCACTATTTTTAGTTTTCTACCATCTAGAATAGGGCTAGAATAAGCATAGATGTGTATTGCTCTTTAGAGTATGCATCTATATAACTCCAAAGGTCTTGTAAATAAATTCCTGCATGTGGTTGAATGATGCATCTGATGTGATATGTGCATTTTGTCAGCTTTACTTTTCTTTTCATATTGAATTTTAACGAGAGCAATATATAATTTAAGTTTTTATGTATACCTGCATGTGTTTTTACCGTCCTGTACAGCCAAGAATAATTTCCCTCTGGGATAATAAAGCATTATCTTATCTTATCTTATCATTTTTATCTTATTCTTCAGTCTTTTCCTCCTTATCTTTCTCCTCTTCCTCCTTTTTCATTTATTCCCCCTTCTCCTCAATCGCCTCTTCCTCCTCTTTTTCACACACATCATCGTCATTGTTGAAAAGCACAAAAACGATTTTAGTTTCAAAATTTAGTCACTCTATGCTAGGAGGGATAATGAGGAATGTGCCCTACCCCTACAGACGGTCGATGATGATGATGATGATGATGATAATGATGATGATGATGATGATGGTGATGATGATGATGATGATGATGATGATGATGATGGTGATATCAGAGTGCATTAGTTAACTCTTTTGAGAATCTGTTAAGTCGATGATGAAGATGTTTGTTAGCCGTTTAATTTCAATTTAGCGCCTTCTATAGATCCCCACCTACCCCCAGACCGTCCTTAGGGGTAGGACTCATCCCTCATTCCCTCCCCTCAAATCGTGGCTAAATTTTGAAACTAAATCGTCATCAATTTCCCAACATTTACAAATAAAGGTTTGCCGAAATGTCACATGGGGGCCGCTTCTTTTTGATGACTGTGTTAGTGTTATGAACCTTATCCTATGCTATTTTTTGCTACAACAATTAATAAAGATTGTGGCGGTGAAATAACTGTTCAATTATTAAAATTGCACTGGTAAATTTGATATAAGATAGTCACACATTTTGATTCTCCTCCAAGTCATGTCTTTTGTAGTTCGGCTATGATCCACCTTGTTTTCCTTCTATATTTTCAGTCATGGCGAGGTGTTCAGTCAGTAATATAATAATGATTGTAGCGGGTCTGACGATTTTGACGATGACCAATACAACCCCTGGGGAGAATAGAAGAATAGAAGAATTAGAAAGTTTAAAGTTAAGATGATTTGTGGCTTCTGTTGTGGGCAATGAGACTAATTGTGGCAGAGAAAAGTTGGCCACATTTTGAACATTTTAAAACTCCACTTCCACTTGTGGATATGGGCGGCTTGCGGGCTGCTGTCTTGGTTTCTGCATTTCATATTCGTGAAGCCGCATATGATTTGTTGCTCACTGTGACTGCCGCTCTTCTGCTGGGTTTTTCAGGAGCTAAGCTCTCCCATATTGAAGCATAGAGTGTCTTAAAAAAAACCCCACTTAAAAGGCAATAACTCGTACATCAATGCACTGATTTTAACAAAACTTCAAAATTATAAACGTCAACCAGGGAAACATCACGTTTGTACATATGAAGAACCTTCATTAATGTCTCCGAGAAATATCATGTTTTGAACGTTTCAACCAAATTTGGGTAACACTCAAGGTTTCAATTCTTAGAAAAGTTCAGCTACAGGGGCGCGATCGGCATGTACCGGTTCCAGGACAGGAACGGAAAAACCACGAAAGTCACATCCGATGGATATCTCACTGTGCTGAGAAATTTCGGAGAAGATTGGGTAGGAGAAGGTGTTATAATGCTGTAGACGCCTGGTTCCAGTGGGACTGGGGCCACGCCACAAATTTCTAGAGTGGGCCTTGTGTGATTGTAAGAAAAAATCGGGGAACGCCTTAATATATGGACAGACCAATTCTACGGAAACAAGCCACAAGCGATCGAACAGTTGAACAAAGAATCGACCCAAAAACACGTCACGTGGTTATTCAAACTTCTCAGTGGCGTATTAGAGCTTGTCAGGAGAGAAATGGTTACAAAAGACTTGATTTTTTTCGAACAGGGTGGTTGATTTATTTCATTTTGACAAATGTAATGTTCCCATGGTTGAATTTTACTTCTGTAAATTTTTATTGAAATTTGTCTCAAGATGACCGAATTATTGCCCTTTAAATGAGAATCCCTTTTGTAAGACACACGATGTTTATGCTGAATGAAGTCCTTTAGAGACATTTTAAGGGTGTCTTTGTAGCATTTTTTTTGGTGCGCCAACCTTGCGATTCCCTGAGGACAGTTTTGAAAGAAAACTGCCTTTGGGATTCTGAAGTCAGGCATTCTTACTACATTGCCAGCCCAGTCAAATTGAGTTCTCTTTAGCTTAAAAAACAGATTCTCATCATTTGACCTTTTGAAAATTTAGATGTCTAGTATTTTAACCTGCCATTTGATGCCAAAAATTCTCCAGAGGCATTTCATTTTGAAAAGATTAAACTTCTTGGCATGACTTCGGTAAAATGATATATTTACAGACGTACACAAAATAATATATTTACAGACATACGTACAACACCTAGCCAGCCGGCCTTGAGAGCCTATAGCACCAAGCACTTAGGCTATAAAGAAAGAGGAAGGCCACACTAAAGGTGGACTGAGGGAATCAATGAAACCCTGAGAAATCATAATATCCCAATTGAAAGAACTGCGGAGCTGGCCTACCCTAGAAAACTGCAACCCTCCCCCTTGACGATTAACAGCAACAGAGGATAACAAAATAAAATTTAAAGTAAGTTAGTACATACAATAAAATATTTACAGACATACTAACTAACATGATCAATATCTTCTCTTTACCTGTGGCCTTTCCAGGATGTCTCACTCCGGGAGGATGACGTCATCTTGTGCTCCTACCCCAAGTCCGGCTGTCACTGGGTGTTTGAAATCTGCCGACTGCTGATAAGTGGCCGGACAACTGCAGACAAAGTGGACAAAGAACAGTTCATGATGGAAGTCTCCAACCGTTTCGGTAATGACGATATATCCGACCTCCCATCGCCCCGACTTCTCAACAACCATGAGGTGAGATTGTTTTGTCAGCGCTCAGTGTTTTGAAAAATGTCACCAGTTCAGGTTAAAGGGCCTGGGCGATATCCTCACTTGTGTGAATTTGCACTGCCCCCCCCCCTCCCTCACCCTTTTTTCCCCACAACCACTAACCAACATGCACTGCCTTATCCACTTCGAACATTTTTATGTTTTGTTGCTGCTGCTGCTGCTGTTGTTACCGCTGCTGTTGTTGTTGATGTTTAGTTGCTTTAAAACATTTTAGGTAGGGTTTAGTGGGACTAGCAACACACACGGGTTATATTAATGCAGAAAATTAGAGGTGTTGCTAGAGAGTAACATACCAAGAGAAGAAGACTGAGATACAAGGACGCTAGAATGTTCGATAGGAACGAAGGAACAAACACACCAGGACATACGCCAATCACCTACGTTTTTGTTGTAACTATGATTGCTTATTGTCTCCTCAGTTCTTCGAGAACCAGCCCAAAGACATCTTAAAGAAAGGCGTCAAGGTGATCCATGTGTACAGAAACCCCAAAGACGTGGCAGTCTCCTTCTTCTATCACCACAATAGAATTCCACCATACGAGTATAAGAACCCGGATTTCTGCTAATATCTTCCCAGGTGGGTGATTTGTTACATGTGTATAGTGTAATGTTTTACGTCATGATAAACTTCAAAGCCCAACTCAAAGGGAATAAAAATGTTGGCATATAAATCTTATTAAAGTTGCAAGAGGTTGAACGAATTAAAAATTAGCAGAGCAGTTAAAACATTTTTTACTGTTTAGCTTAAGGTCGACACACAACGTTTTTGGTAGTTCACTCTCTGTCAAGCGAGGGACTGTAGATTTTTTTAGAAAGTGTTTATAGCTGGTTAAATGTCTCTTGATAAAAGGTTACGTGCACTAAACTATGTCTCTTGATAAAAGGTAAGTGCTTTCTCTTTACAATGTTTTTTGATAAAAGGTTAAATGTGCTTAAATGTGCTTTTTATTAAAAGGTTATGTTATGCGTGAAACTTTGTCTTTTTTAAAAGACATTAAACGATTTCTTGTGATAAAGGTTAAATACATGAACTATGTTTTTATATGAAGATTTTAATGCCTGAATTAATAGTGTGGGCTTATTAGTATGTACAGTATGGTATAGAAAGTCAGCGACCTCCACAGTACCGTCCAATTTGACAACTTGTGTTTCCGTAAACATGTTGATTCCCAGTTCTGATCCAGTAAAGTGTTTGCTGTATGAACCAGTTATCAAAACTGACACCGTGACATTACGGACGAGAGTGACAGACAATAGTGCAAATCAGCACAGGCTGTTTTAAGGTCATCTAAATATATAAAGTATTTATATTGTATCCGTAGTACGAATTAATGGAGAATACAGTGAATATAAGCAGATTAGTAGAGGAGTGAGGCAAGGATGAGTTATATCACCAGACCTCTTTAACATGTACAGTGAAACAATCATTAGAAACATAGAAGAATGTCCAGGTCTCACGGCGAATGGTGAAAATATTATTAACATCAGATATGCCGATGACACAGTTTTAATAGCAGATTCAGAAAAAGACTTTCTATCGCTTCTAGATACTGTTTTAACAGAAAGTGAACGTAAAGGATTATTGTTGAATGTAAAGAAAAAAAAATACATGGTTAAATCCAATTAAGCAGCAAATCCTATTTGTAATCTCATTAGCAAAGGTGAAAAGATCAAACAAGTCCAAAAGTTTAAATATCTAGGATATATAAATAGATCTGACGCCAATTGATCCACAGAAACAAAACGTAGAATTACAATGGCTAAGGCTAGTTTCAATAAAACGGACCCAATCCTGAAAAATAGAAACATCTCAATGACTATCAAAATGAAAGTTCTGAAATGTTATGCCTGATCTGCCTTTCTTTATGGGTGTGAATGCTGGACAATCACTAAAGACAGTGAAAATAAAATAGAAGCAACAGAAATGTGGTTTCTTAGGAGACTGCCGAGAATATCGTGGAAGGAAAAAAATCAAATGAGCTAGTACTTGATGAAGCTCACATGGGACGCTCACTGTTAAAAACAATCAGGAAATGACAAATGCAGTTTTTGGAACACCTGAATAGACATAAAGATCTTGAACGTCTAGCTCTCACTGGCAAAATTGAAGGCAAACTAGGAAGGGGTTGACCCAGAGCAATAATAATAATAATAATAAAAAATGACATTTATATAGCGCTCAACCTCGATTAAAGTACACAGGCTCTGAGCGCTTTACAACACAACATAATGTACCACAGTAACATAAAACGTTGTGTTCTGACTTTAAAAAATCACTCGAAATATTCATCTTATTAATTTTAAAACAGAAACGACTTCAGCTGACATTTGAATGAATCAAAAGATTTGATTTCCCTTAAAGTACTTGGCAAAACATTCCAGATCTTGGGGCCTTGAAATTCAAATGTCCTTTCACCCATTGTTTCAAGTCTCATAGATAGTAAAAAAAACCTTTCTTTTTGTCAACTGATTACCTACTTAGGGAACTTATACAAATGGGTAATGGGGAAGGATCAGGGAAACGTAGCTTTTTAAGATCAGCTGAGCAAAGGAATGAATCGAGAACCGTGATCGCCGAAGTCTGTCGCAGATCTGGTAGTGGATAATGATGATCTGGAGATATTGCCATCGCTAATCGTAGACAAGGGAAGTAACTAGAAATAATAGTACTCTGCGTCTCTGTGCTAGTAACCCCTCCCCCCATCCCCTTAGAGAGCAAAGAGGTGAGGGCGAGAGAGAGAGAGACAGACAGAGAGAGAGAGAGAGAGAGAGAGAGAGAGAG